AAAAAAAAAGTCAGTGTTAACCTTTTGTGTGCCAAAACAGCTTTTGATCTTGCTCGTGGAACAGATGCATTCAGTGTAGTGTCACACTTGCAGCTTGGAGGTATCCTTGGAGAAACTGCAATGCTTCTGCATTCAGACTAGTACTCAGCATTGATGCAACCTTCAAACACAGGAGAGAGCAGGAGAGTCAATGTGTATATACATTAAACTACTGCTATATCCTGCTAATCACTGTGTCAACATATGGTACAAGCAACACGCTGAGAGCAGCAGTTTTTCACTGTGGAAGCAGCTGCTGGAATTCCAGTTCCTGATGCTTACAATTTTATGTACTAATTTGAATCAAATGTGAAAGTAGAGAAAACCTTTAGCTATTAAAGCAGGTATTTGGATGCAGCAAACATCAGATCTTGAAAAAACCAAAAACCCTACAGATTAAAATAGTTAACTGTAAACTTCAGTTGTGTAATTTAGTATGAGTTGCCTGATGTCTTCTGAGGAGGTGTAATTGACCTAGACACAAGTATTAGTTCTATACCAACAAGAGGATATATTTTCCTTTAAGAAATGGCATATTCAAGCTTATTGCTAAATTAATCAATGTGAAAAAGACAGTCTTTCTAAGGTTACTAGGGGAAAAAGCCCTTACAAAAGCTACATTCCATTAAAGAACAAAAAAGAGCCATATCTGGCATTTTGGTTATGACATACTTCATTTTGCTGATTATCAAACATTAGCAAAAGAGACCTATTATCAAAAAAGCACCACTTCTCTGTAGAATTCAGCATTAGCATGCCATGCAGAACAGTCACCTACCCTGCCTGGGCACGCTGTGGACAGTTTGTGAAGAGACTGTGCCAGATGGATTCTAGGATTGTTCACCATTTGACCTACAGGATCGTGTTCTTTTTTTCCAGCAAAGGCTAGCTGAGAGAATGCAGTCTGATATCCTGGAGTATCTTCTATGTCAATGAAGTGCTCTTCATCAGGGATAGTGTCATCCTCAGGCAGTTCAAAGAGGCCAATGAGGGCCTGCAGCAAAGGGATCCTATATGTAAAGAGGAGAGGATAAAATGGGAGCACTTAAAATACATAAGGACAGGGTGTATTTTGCAAGAATGTTCAAAGTTACTTGGAACCCTTGACAGTGCTCTCTTTATCACAAAAATCTCAAACCAGTTCTGACTTCTGCCTTGAAAATACAATTTTATTTGTTGAGAAGTGGCATGAAAAGCCTGCAAACTCAGCATCCTAGCAACAGTAGGCCTGAAGAAATCATAATGGAGTTTATTTGAAGAATATATTTTGAAGAAAGCTCACATTTTCAAAAAAATCAAAATAGCCTCCCTAAAGGAGCCTGAAGAAGTGTTCTACATACCACAGCTTGGTGTACTCGGTGTCCATCATAGGAGGACATTCTGTTAATATTTTTGTAATGCCAACAGCACAGATTTTCTTCTCAACTTGCCCAGACACTTTCTGGATTTCAGGAATGATAATTTTCTCCAAAACCATTCCAAACATCCTATTATGACATTAAAAGAAAAAGTATTAGAAAGCCTTATCAGCCTTACAGTGACAAAGGAAAACCAGAAACAACATTAATCCTTAGCAAAAAGAAAACCAAGTAATTTGTTAAAATGCTGCTCTGTTGCAGTGCATATCTACTGGAAATTTGAGAAGACAAATGATTCAGAAAGGAAAAAGTAAAATTATC